GCCGCTATCATCGGCACCAGGACTGGGCCAGACCTTCCCCTTTTTCCTCCATTCCCAAACTGGGCCTATATCTCACGTCAGTTCTTCTGGCCAGCCACAGAGCTGTTCTGGGGTCCAGCCACGAACAGGCTACTGTGGTGTGACTCACCCACCCGGTGGATATTTGGGTGAGCACATCACTGGCACGAGGCTTCCTGCCATTCAGGACATTTATCTCCAGCGATGCCTCCGTAAAGCACACAGCATCATCAAGGACCACAGCCACCCAGCACATCAGCTCTTCTCCTTGTTACCATCTGGCAGACGTTACAGGAGTCTGTCTGCTCGGACTACAAGACTCAAAAACAGTTTTTACCACCAAGCCATACGACACCTCAACCACAACACTTAAACACACACAACACAGCACTCAGAAGCTACCTGCAGCTTCACAAGTACTCTGTTTAATCTGCACTGGTCACTCCACTTTATTGTATTGATATTTATATTTAAAAAGTGCAATACTGTAATTTTCTGCTGCTCATTCCTGTGCAATATCCCATCTGCCCTCCCGTCATATTTCTTTTCAAGATTTTCTTATTTAATCACTAGTGTACATATATTTATATTTATAGATACATATATATTTAGTCATCTTTTCTCTTTTACCACGTCTCTCTAATATTTTGCTCTTTACTATTTTTCTATTTTTTTTTATTATTTTTTTTATTATATTTTCTTCTACTGTACCATGCTGCTGAGTGACTGCTGCTCGTCAAACACACTGACTACATCTAGTGCAGGGCTAGGCAACTCCAGGCCTCGAGTGCCGTTGTCCTGCAGGTTTTAGATGTCACCCTGTTTCAACAATGATTAGTTCATTACCAGGACTCTGGAGAACTTCAAGACATGTTGGGGAGGTAATTTAGCCGATTGAATCAGCTGTGCTGGATCAAGGACACATCTAAAACCTGCAGGACACCGGCCCCGAGGCCTGGAGTTGCCTAGCCCTGATCTAGCAAGTATCTTTCAACCTCATGCACTCAGGCACCTTTTCCATCAAAGAGGTGGATGTCCCAAGACTCCTGTAGCTTCTCTATGCTTTCTTTTCTCTGTGGACATTGGCTGTGTTTTTATTCGTTTTCAGTTCAGTCATTGTACATGACCATACCTTATGTATTTCAAAAATGATGCAGGGATGGACCCAAAAGGAGTCACAACACGTAAGGGTTTCAAAGTTATTAAGTGATTTATTGAAAGAATGGGAAAAACTAGGTACTGGGATGGTTTCACAGGAAGTTCTTCAGCAACAGAGGAGAGCAAAGTTAGTGGGAGAACTGAGCTTTTTGATAGAGTGTGTGAGAAAATAACAGCGATACGTCTTACTTGGTTTGTGGGTGAGTGCAGCAATGGAGGGAAGGCAAAAGCTCTTTGGGGATCGGTAGGCAGAGGGCTGGAGGGCAGGCAAGTGAGTTCTGTTCTTTCCTTTAGGAGGTGTGGGAGTGTGCTTGTGCTATTCTTACATGGTAACTTGGAAATTTCAGCAATCCATTGATACATTTTGTTTGTGTTTTTGACACCCAGCAGCAGTATGGATTAGTGCATTATGGAGATTCTAACTGTTTGCAAGGTTGATTTTAAAATGTAATTAGTTCTGGATTACTTGATATCTGAGATGAGATGCCAATTTAAACAGGAGCACAAACAGAAAATGTTTAAAGTTTGAGACAGCTCATTGGAAACCACCTTACTCTTGATGATATTGCATTCCCATCTTAGCTTCTTTTCACTGGCTCCCTGTTAAATTTATGATTTCATTTTTTGTCAGGGCTTACTAGCGATTCCTAGAATTTCTGCAAGTGACATGGAAGCAAAACCTTTAGCTTACCTAATTTTAGAGGCAACACTTTGATCCAAAAGATCATGTTGAGCTGTACCTTTCCCTTTCCTTTAACTGAAGTCATATATTCTGGCAGACTGCAGCTATATGCAAGAAGCTTGTAAAACATAAATACTGTTCATTTAGAGATGTTTTCAACATGTTTATGGTGTGGGTATATTGGTGTTATTTATAAAGTTAGCTGTTATGATTCAGTGTTCTGGTTTGTGATCACATGCAGCTTTTGTTTTATGTGTGGCTCCTCTCACTGGTGTGAGTGTGGGTGTTTATATTTTCTCCTCCCTCCAGGCTGGGTGAGGGGGGTGTCTCTGATTGGCTGATTCAGTCGCACCTGCATGTTGGGTCCCGGTTACTGGAATAAGAGGAGATCACGGTCAGTGGGATCCAGCAGACAATCAACGATCCTCCACAGTTGAATTGAGTTGCCTTACTTGGTTTCAGGTGGAGGGGACAGGTGGGGCGGAAGGCCCGGAAGCGGTCGAGACGTGGGGAGGCAGGCAAGTGAGTGGTGGGCCGGCAGGCCACGTCGTATCAGCAGCAAGCGGCCCAGGTCCAGGAAGGCGGGAGTGAGGGAGACAAGACCTCCACTCCAGGTGCTACCTCTGAGAACAAGAAGAACAAGTAAGTCATCACACGGATTCTGGACAGAGTTATGATGCTCCACTTGACTAACATGGGGATAGCAGATACTCAGGCGATGAATGGTTGAGAGCGCAGGTCTGATATACTGCCGGAATAATTGCTCACAGGTGGTCAGCCAGGGAGGAGCAACCAAACTCCGCCTAAGGAGGAGGGGCTGCTGTTGGAGACCTGCAGGTACCCACCCAGACCATGACCGAATGTATCTGTCTGGCCAGATTTTTCACACCATGTGTCCCAGTGTTACGTTCCATTTTTACAGCTTTGCAGCTCATGATTTGTAAAATGCAACAGGTGTGCACCTAGTGATTATTATGGATTATGGCTCTTTTTGACAGCGCAAACTGTCCAAAGTTGTAAAGAATCCCTAATTGGTGAGATGTGGTTGTCAACTAAATGTATTACACACCACTTTAAGACTGGCCTAAAAGCCAGTATTTCTGAGTCGCCCTCAGCCATAAACCTGACAAAAAGGACAGTAAGGGAGATGTGGGAATAATCTCAAAGTTATGTAACTCTTGGGTTGTACTTCACAGATGAAGAGGGGTCAGGGGAACCCCACTCAATTAAAAAGAGGATAGGCTCTCTCTCTGTCTGTCTTTCTCTTCATTCTGTCATTCTATTGGGTTTCGTTATTCCTAACTTCTAATATGCAGTAATTCAGCGAGATAATGTGGGATAAAAATTTCTGAAATAAAGCAAGGGAAAAAAGTCTCCAAAAAGTGTGCTATATCGGAATTCTGAGGTTTTATCTTTTTGTTTTGTTTCTGTTTAGTTATGTTTGCGATGTGGTGTGCATGTAAACAGTTTGAATGTGCTTGGAAGAAAGAGACCATATTATTGCATAAAATAGTGCTGAGTAGGGATGGGTATTGATAAGATTTTCACGATTCCGATTTCCATTTTCGATTCTGTTTAATCGATTCGATTCTTTATCGATTCTCTTATCGATTCTTTTTAAAAAAGGAGAACACTAAGTCGATTAGCTTAGAACTTTGTTTTATATCTTCTCTTTGAACAAGCAGAAACTTTGACCACAAACTGAGTCTCTGCTCGGTGACATTCGTCTATCCTGGCCTGAAAGGAGACGCTACCGGCAGACTGCAGCGAGAACTGAGCCGAGCATTCTTTCAATGTATAAATGCACAGAAGGCATTGTAATAGCGATCGCACTAAATCACTTATTTCCTCATCTAGGATCGCTCATGGTCACCTAAATGCACAGTAATGGCAGGTTTGTAATAAGGCAGATCGCGCTAACATAATATGCACTGTTAGTTGATTATTTACCTGCCGCATTAACGGGAGAGGACGTGCAAACGTTACCGCTGCTGCTGGGTTGAGATTCACGAGTCCGGAGCGGAATTAAAAACACGACATTCATTTAAGGTCATCGCGTGTTTTGTGAGCAAATGCTTTTGCATATTCGTAGTGTTTCCTCCCTTAAATGAAATATCTACTTTGCAAGTATGAATGCCTTTTCCGTTCTCGTAAAGTTTAACCAAACTTTTGAGCGATTTGAGCCTTAGGCGCCGTGTTTCCTGCCAGGTAAATGACGCTCCGCAACGTGGTGACGTCATTCGGGGCGACTGGAATCGATAAGGGAATCGTTTGCAAAAATGGCAAACAATTCCAAGGAACTGAAACAGTGGGAACCGGTTCTCAACAAGAACCGGGTTTCGATACCCATCCCTAGTCTGAGCACATCTTCTTGGACATCAGTGTTGCCCGGTTGGTACAGATGGACCAGACAAGGAAAAAAATCAATGTTGGACTCCAGCCTGTGAGTTCAGGGAACCACCGTGTACCTAACTCAAACAAGCTCATCTTCACACAGTCCTCATTTACAAAATCCACTGCAACCCCTAACATGATGGCTAACAGGTGGGTTTTCACATTTCAGCTCAACTAGCCAACAATGAATAACGACTTATTGGGGGGTGTTACATACAATTCATTTTCAAAGTCAGAGTTAGTTCAAAAGTGACTCCCTTAGACTGCTTTATGGTTTTGTTTTAAACTGGTTTACCGTTTTTATGGTTTTATCAATTTTTGATCCATCAGTCCACAAGACCTTCTTCCAGTCTGCAGTAGTCCAACGGTGTAATGGCCCAGCCAAGCCTCTTTGTTTTATACTGACGTCTGGCTTTCTTCTCTTCACAGATGAAACTGAGACTTCTCACTACGACCACGATTAAGCTGCTTGTAGCTGTTGTCCTGTGAGCCGCCATCACACTGTAACTGATTCAGTCGTGTCTTTGGGTCTGCAGACCTCTTCCTGTCACAGTTTCTGAGCCTTTGGATGATGAAGGAAACTGGACTCACTGACACCTTGACTTTCTTTGCAGTTTCTCTGTAGGACACACCTACATTTATGTTTATGGTCTGTCTCTCTTCCATTGTTAATCGCCTTGTTGTCACCATTTCTGTATCAACACACTACTTCCTGCAGTACAATAATGTTCAACTGATGCTCATGTAGCCAGATGGGCTACTCGCCTTCCGTTTTTTTCTTCTCTCTCTCTCACTCTCTCTCTCTCCTGCACTCGTTCTTTTCGCCGCACAACTAGGTTAATTGGGAACCCACCTGCACATTGATTGCAGGGTGGCGCTAGCCCGTATAAAGCTAAGCCGATGTTTTGTTGGATTATTTCCTCCCGTGCATTTAGCGCAAAACAGCAGTAAATGCTGGCGTACTGCGACGGACTGATCAGCAAGAGCCGATTATATGACAGCTACAGGTATGCTCTCGCTTAACCTCAGATTCCCTCCGAATACTGGAATAATAATAATAATAATAATTATTTAAATAGCGCCTTTCAAAGCACCCAAGGACACTGTACAACAGATAAAAACTGGAAATATACACAATGATAAAAATAGAAGATAAGAGATAAAACATACAGAAATTTAAGAATAGGCAATTTTAAACAGATGAGTTTTAAGGGTGGACTTAAAAAGAGAGAATGAGCTAATATTTCTGAGGTCCGGGGGTAGGGAATTCCAAAGTCGAGGGGCAGAGCAACTAAAGGCCCTCCCTCCCATTGTGATCAGACGAGCAGAGGGAACAGAGAGAGAAAGAGAAGATGAAGATCTGAGGCAGCGGGATGGGAGCTTCATCTGTAATAAGTCAGACAGGTACGGTGGAGAGAGAGAATGAATAGCCTTAAATGTATACAGAATTATTTTAAAATGGATGCGAAATTTGACCGGGAGCCAGTGAAGTTGCTTCAGGATTGGGGAGATGTGGTGGGTAGAAGAAGTCCTAGTAATAATACGGGCAGCAGAGTTCTGGACACGTTGGAGCTTGTTGATAGATTTTTGTGTGAGGCCAAATAATAATGAGTTGCAGTAGTCAATTCTAGAGATAACAAGATTATGGATGAGAATGGCAGTGGCGTGAGGTGTGAGGAAGGGGCGGAGGCGATTAATGTTACGGAGTTGGAAATATGCTGCACGTGTAATATTTGTGTTAATATTTCCGGCCTGTTGTAGCGCAGCAGTCTGTTTAATTCTGCCATTGCGGAGAGAGGTGTTCGTGGTATCTCCACCAATGAGAGTATAGTGCCTCCGGTCCTGGGGTAAGCCGTTAGAACTACTTTTATTAGCATTCATAGCTATAAGAGTTTAAGGTTACATTTATCTGTTTCAGGGTTCACTGCTGTACTCACCTCTCCATGGTAAATTGTCCAACCTAAATTGGAAGAGTGGACTGCCTTCTCAGCTGCTGTTGTGAACTCCTCCTTGGTGGAGTCTGCTGTCTTGTCTTGTTTTGTCTTATCTTGTTTTTATTAAGTAGGCTTACCTTTTTTTGGGTTCGCCTGGTGTTCTATTTTATTGGACTGTTGCTCGTACCCACGCTTCTGTGATCGGGCTGAAGTGATTCTCTGCCCGAGTGTCGTGCTGGGACTCTAAATCGCCTGGGTGGCCGGTCTCAGCCGGTGGGGAGCCAGACCAGCCTACGCCTGAGAATAATTATTACCAGCACGAGTGGTAGTTTGACCCGTGGGGAATAAGCCTTTCCCGTGGGTGTGTGTGTGATTTCTTTTATTAAAGTTATTAAGGTGTGTTTTAGTTTTTTTTATGATTTGTAGCGAGCCTGACGCTCAGTGTCCTTTTTATTTCAGTGAACGGAGGATGAGCCAGTGGTCCTGGGACCTCAGGTGGTGGGTTGTTTTCACACTTTCTTTTGTACAGCACTGGGTGGGTTGCAGTGATTCTTTTTGTGTGATTTTCTTTTGGTTCCACGGCTGCTGGTAAGTCCAAGTTCCACGATTGTTTTATTTTTACTGTAGGACACTGTCAACAATGACGCTACATCTTGATTTTTAATATTTTATTTATTTTTCTATAAATAAAACTGTTTTGATATTGGAAGCCAACCTGCCTCAGTGTGCATCCTTGAATCTGTGCGGACTCCTTTTATTCCTTTTATCTATTTTTCTTAAATATATTTCCTGGGGGTGCAATTCCCCTAGGTGGCGTTGTCAAGTTTATTATTTTGTTTATAACCCCGCCAACCACTTGGTCACACTCATGAAGGTCTGGTACCACAGTGTGCTCCAGCACTGCTTTTATGCAGACAGAGGGGGTTGTAATTAATCCAGAACAGTTGGAACACCTGTATATTATTTGTTTTTAGGTAACCTTACCTTTTTTTAACCTCTGGCAGTTCACCACTTACCTTTGTACCATTTAAAGCTGTTCATTACACTCGAACGACTTGCAATAAATAACTGGAGGTGTTCTAAACCTTTTGACCGTTAGGGTACACCCACATCCACCTCCACCCCTCCCCCGCTACCACTTACCATGAGTAATCATTGTAAGTGTTTAGGCCTGCTTTCCATTAATATTGGCTTTGATGACAGTTTCTGGCATCTAGTTCCTCTTATTACACTTATTAAGTACTGATGCATTCTTTCACCAGACCTCAAGATTATTTCTCTTCACTCAGCACCCTTGACATTGTATAGATGCTAATATATTTCCCCAGAGCTTCTCTGGCTCTAGAGCAGTTGGAATTGCTGTGGGCATGCCTGAGGATAAACAGATAATGGGACACTTCTCATTGACTTGCCTGCGCTAACAGGCGAGTAGCCTAATGTAAGAACAAACTTAAATGCAAACTAATAAGTAGAAGTGAGAAGAATGTGTGCGCTGTTGTAGTGTGTAACACTGTGAGTGTGCAGCCAATTGTCCAATCTGAGTGACAGAGAGGCAAGACTGCTCTTCTGTAAATGAGCTCCCATGAGTCCTTCAGTTTTTATCTCTCACTGCAGATATACAGTGCTGGGGAGCTTCCGAAGACCTGCTTGTATCTTCAAATACACAACATGCTACAACAATATGGAACATACGTCACGGTCTGGCTGGCAGACCGTGGGGAGATGGGGAAATAGGACCCAAACGCCGGACTCTTCAGTGCAACAGTGTTTATTTACAAGGTGGTGAAGTAAACAACAATAAATCCCCAGTTTCCCAGACTCCCGTGTAGTGTCTTCTTCCCATAAGTCCCCGTGTAGTGCTCTCTGCCCCAGTGTCCCTGCACTCCCCGTGCTCACTGCTCCTTCTCGTCCCACACTCCTCCTGAGGGGAAAACAATAGAGGCAGCCGTTACAACTTATCCCAGCAGGCATACACTCACACTTGACTTGCTTGAAGACTGACGTGTAGTCAAACGCAATAATCCAGCGTCGGTGGAAGCTCCATCGCTCATCTAAATAGCTCCCCCGACGAGCCCAGATGAGGAGCAGGTGTGCGGCCAGGACTTCGGGTGTGGCCAGCCCTCAAGTTAGGCCACGCCCCCAGGGCTGAAGGTGCCTGTAACTTGGCCACAGCAGAAAGGCAATACACACACATACCTGCCTACATACAGATGTGCACAGGGGCAGTGCAGACAACACACCAAATAATAATAATAATAACAACAACAACAGTCATCGTCCCCACTGCCCACGGACCCCGAGTCCCCAGAGCCGGGTCCGTGACACATACTGCAACAATATTACAACATTTTCATGCAAAGAAACACGTGAGCAAAACGCGTCACTAAAACTATGCACATTATGCTGTTGCTAAACATTCTACAGAATAGTTTTTTCCCAGAACAGTTTAGTAGCTGGCTGAAGGGATTTTCTTTCATTACAGCCAATTAGCAGGACATTAATCCTTAGCCCAGACCAATGTCTTGTTGTTACTGCAGTAGTTTTGATATAAGCTTGTTAATTTTACAAAAGATTTTGGGCTCAAGTGCTCAATGAAAAAAGGCACAAATTAGTTTTTAAAAAAAGAATTTGCCCACATAAGAAATCTATTTATTTCTACATCCATACATCTCACAATCATGTCTGTCAGAACAAAAGTCAACAAATAAATTTTCATCTTTTCTATAAAGATTATACATTCAGAGAGGATGGTCTTCTGCATGTACTGTTTTTACATCCATCAACAGGGCAGGCAACAAAATGCCGACGTAGATGTGAGTTTGTGCATAATGCAGTAATGACAGCATAATGCTGTCATTACTGCAGGTGTGCACTTTACCATTGTGTTCTTGTTCTTTTGTTCAATAAAAAGAAGAGTAACGTCCTTATTGCCATTCCTGAAAAGCTAACCACTTTCATTAAGTGCCTCTTTGTTTCCCTTTCTGGCAACCTGGTGTGCAGATAATGGAAGAAACATCACTGTAACTGTAACATACTGAATTTACTACAACAACATGTTACTGCTAAATGTAATGTGATTACAGTTATGTGTTACTTGGAACTGTTTACTGTGCACTAAAAACATCTCATTGATTTGCCAGTACTTATAAATGTGTACTCATTGCCTCAAAAACCATAAATACAGTTTACTAAAATAGCTGAGTTAGGATAACTTGTTACTTGTGAATGCATACTACTGAGAATAATGTGATATTTCTGAGTTAGCAACACTCAGACCCATATATTCAGTAAATTAAAATACATAACTTGTGCCAACTGACTATTTTAAATTTTACTGGATATAAATTGAATGCAACTGACTTTGATCACACATCTGTGGACTCCACTTTACCCTCACTTACCCAGTATGTTACATACCCCGGCAGAAACACTGGACTTATACATCATGCACACAGCTTGTCTCCCCTTCTGTCCCTGGGAAGATCAGATGTGCTTTCTCCCAGTGTATAAACTTTTAGTATACAGAGAAGCAGTCTTTT